AGGAGTGGGTTTCGAGGAAATACCATCGGTCAGTATAAAACTACTGATCTGTCCCCAACGCGGCACAGAAAAGACGGCAATCAGTAGAAAATGATAAAGTTCGATCCGTACCTAACTCTAATCAAAGCTACATTTCTGCTGCCTTCAGCAAAACCGCTTTTGCCCTAAGCGTACCATGCCTCGAAAGCCGCCTCCGAATTATGGGAGTTCTCCCTTCGTGGTAGATCTTTCTGACATCGCTACAGCTATAAGCATGGGTATTTTGAGGGAGGACGCAAAAGTTGATACCTCAGACCGCTCCAGCCAAAAGTATGGGGGAGTATACGCGACGCGAACCAATATTGCAGACACTGAGTTTCCAACACAAATAAGGAAACTAACGACACAAACAATTGCAATCGTTGACTGCTGATTAATAATTAAGGTATTTCTTTCCAATAGATTATCTTACTGATCCTCATTCTCAATAAATATCAGCGTTGACTGCTGATTAATAATTAAGGTATTTCTTTCCAATAGATTAACTTACTGATCCTCACTCTCAATAAATATCAGCAGCAAACGGACTGGGGAGTCAATCTCTGTGAGTAGATAGAACTCTACTAACGTACCCTGAGAGTAACAGTTGGATACGCTGTGTACCCAGCTACTTCAACGTCAATATGTTATTTCGGTGTACCATTTTTTAGCTGCTCTAAACGCCTTTATTTATATGGTTGTTTTTGTGGAGTGCACTTCCGTGGCATTCGCCATTTTGGTCGATGCCTCCGCTCAACCCCCGACAGCGTCACGCCCGAACGATCCAGCGCCGACTGGACGGCTTCTTTTGGCAGCTTCGTCTAAGCAGAGAAGTTAGCATACCGAACGAAGTCGACCGAGAGCTGGACGCCGAGCGTGCATCGTCCATAGGTGGTGGGTTACGTGACGGTGTCAGTAGAGGAGGAGGTCTTTTTGCCGGAGTCAGAGACTGATAGACCAAACAAGGCAGGACTAAGAGAATATGCAAATGCGAACTTAACACCAAACGAGGCAGGACTAAGAGAAAATGCAAATGCGAACTTAACAGCACTCCAGTAGCTGTGAAATCAGTAGTTGTGCAGGCAGCGCCGCGTTGGGGACAGATCAGTAGTTTTCTACTGACCGATGGTATTTCCTCAGTGGGTTTCACGTGCGCCTATTCGGGATATCTGATACTAAAACATACCAAGTTTTGTGAAGAAACCCTATACTCAAATATACAAGTTTATTTGGCGCAGAGAGAGTCTCGCGCTCAAGGGGTTAATACATGTTTTAGCGCTATAGCCCATACACTATTTTTGCTCTATTTTGTCAATGGATTTGCTGTGTTATCTCAGGGGGCCGATTGCAGTTAAGAAATCGCGAATGGAGGTTGGTGACAAAACATCGATGCTTTCTCGTAATTGTGAAGCTTTGCTTGTGTAAGTGTAACTTTGCCGCTGTCTAGAATTCGATTGGCGCGCTTTCAAGCCGAAGATGCTGCAGGGTAAAAAATGGCATTCGTCCATAATTAATAAATAAATGCGTGAAAGATAGTAATTTTGGATAATTACTTAAAAGCCCTATTGTTATGCATCCTTAAACCCACTGCAAAGTTTTCTGATGCTCTGCACCTGTCGTTTCTCAGTCAATCTCGAAATCACTAAAGTCGCACTGAGAAAATGCATCTGCGAGCTTGGAATGGTAGTGGCGATACTCATCCATCACAAAATTGAAAGGAGAATCGTCGTCAGCTTCAGCGAGGATCCCATTCCCTTCCGGAACTCCCCCGTGAACGACTTTAGGCTGCTCCTCGGCCCTTAATTCTTCGACTTGGATATCAATTTCGGGATCGGCAAAGTTATTCCCAAACCACCCGCCTCTGCAGTACCATTGCTGAATCGTTGCAGTAAAGCTAGGACTACCATAACCGTCATGAGACGCTTTGCCTGGTTTCCCATTACAACCTTGCCGTCCCATCAATCCCACTCCTTCCCAAACATTTTGATTTGCTTGCATGATGAAAAGTTTGCCACCTTGTCCACCCGCACCACCCCGACCACCGTCTCCAGCTTGAATTCGTGGTTTTCCAGACTCAGAATCCTTTTTTACTACGACATTTGCCACCCCAGGTGTGCCGTACACTCGCCCAGATAGTGGAGAATCGTTCCTCTTGTGTTCCACCAGTTGGAGACCACCTTCCAAGCCCGCTGGGGCTGAATAGTCACGATTTAAAAGCCCATGCTCGATTTCGCAATGGATCATTTCCTCGAATGTTGCCACGCAGAATGACGAATCTGCTCCATCCGCTCCATCACCGCCATTTTGCGCGTCTCCTCCACGTTGGCCATTCGAAACTGTGCTTTGAAGAACGTGCAAATCATCTTGCAACTTCTTGCACACAACAGTCAGGTCCCCGCCAGGAAGCCCAGGCTCACCATGAGCTCCATGTCGTCCAACATCATCATTGATGCGCGTCGCACTTTTCGCTTGGCACTTTGCTGATAAATCCATGGCACGTGATGTAGTCACCACGATTGTAGGGCTAATGAAAGCAATTTCTACCCACATTTGAATATTCACGTCAATGTCGAGTGACGCGTAACCAATGAGGGTAACAATGGGGATCACTTCTCGCTTTGCCAAGACATACTCCGCTTTATGCTTCCGCACAAACTCATTGATCGTTTCTAGCTCCTCTGACAATCGAAGCTGAAACGCACTGATAACCAAGCTGTCGTGCATCTCGTGAGTCGAGCGATACGCCTTCACTGCATTCCTCAGCTCTAAAAGCTTCTCTTTGGCGCCTTCCAGTGCAAGGCGACACTTTGCATTCAATTAATCACTTATATGACAGCGGGTATCGCCACCATGCAATGTTTCTACAACAGAAAGCCGGTGTTTGGCTCGACAAAGCGCTGGGTCATTATCGTAGTCAGCAGGAGCAACCCGAGACAGAATGCTCACCAAGGTACTTAGAGGAATTTTGTCGGGGCATTTCAAAGCTTCTAACGTGTTGGAGATTTCTTCGAAAGTTGCTTTATAACTTTCCCAATTGTAATTTTCCAAAAAGCGTGCTGACAATTCTTCTTGAACAAAGTGAACACAGCTTTCCGTGAGCAATTTCAGCAGTAATTTTGCCGCATCAGGTAGTTTTTCGTCATGTTCCACCTTAGACGCATGAAGACCGCGCAGCGTCTGCAGAATCTCACATTTCCTTCCACAGTATTGTTGCGAGTAGTCGTGACCATCAAAGTCTCCTGGCGCTGGTGCCGGAAGAGCATAGGAGCGAATGTCAAGCTTACTTTCGACAATTTTAAGGTCCGATGTACTGTTTGGGTCAAACTCGGGTCCGCACTTTGTGTAGACAATAATGGCATTGTCTCTACGAATCAGAGAGCTGTTAATCATGTCCTGCAGCATGACAATCTGGGGTCGTTCGTGCAAAGGCGGACTTACGAGTATAAACTTCAACGGTTTATCAGCTTTCAGCATCCATTGAAATATAAAATGCACCACCAACTTCACGAACGGGCCCCGCGTATCACGATACCCAGGCATATCCCACACGGCAACGTCTTCATCTTGCATGCTGACGTGGTTCACAATAGGAAGTAGGCTTGCAGAGACTGAGCCACTTCGAATTTCGACGCCATCCAGTGCTGGAATGGCAACTAGCACTCGAGAGTAGCGAGAGGCATGACGAACAAAAATACGTTCGCCGAAGAGAAACGACACAACGGTACTCTTGCCGGCGCCAGTGGTCCCGAGAGCCACAATATTTGGCTCAGGGTCGACATCGCGATCACTTCCGAAGACGGAGTGAGTCAAGTAAGCATCCACCTCATCCAGTAAATCCAGGCACTTGTCGACATCGGCGGCGTTCGGAGAACCAGTTCGTGTGTCCAAGCGGTGTGAAAGCTCCGTAATATCTCGCTCGATTCGTTCGCGATCCATGGCTCACTTGTGCAACCACCAGGGAAAAATGTAATGGTGCTGAGAGTCGTTAAAAAGTATGCATTTGCATCCATCAGAAAATTGAGAAAAGTTCAAGAAAACCCGCATCAACTGTCAAAGGCACATTTTTATTTGTAAGTAAAAAATAAAAAATCACGATATTATAAAATCCCGCACCTCTGCGCTACATTGGGATCATTTTGAGAACTCATTAATCTCTTTGTAAATGCTCCAGAAGTCAATGTGCAGGCTCTCTTTCACTTCGCAGGGGTGGTCGGGATCCGTTAGAGCCTTGTAAAACAAGTCTGCAGCTGTAATCTCCAAGAATGGACGATCAGCACTTCTCCACGGACTTTGTGAGTCATAATCAGTGTCTTGGGACGTAACAAGAGGCAATTTTCGATAAAAGCATGACCTCTCCACTCGTTTCGCCATACCAGGAGTCACTGAAGCATTCCCGAAACTTACCACATCTTCAACCACCGCTCCGCCGTCAACACCGCGACGGTACAAAACCATCAAACACGCAAACTCATCGCCCTTCCGATAGCTTAAGTAGACCAGGAGCACAGCGCGCAGCATCGGGACGAGATCAAAATATTCGCGACATATTCTCTGCGTTTCAATAATTCCCCGACCACCAACGTCGATTTCAACGATCAGTCGAGGCTCTCGAGGCTTCTCCCCACCTGTAGAGTACCTTGGTCGAAGTGCGGCATCCGGGTCTCGCACGATTTCGAGCTGTGTTCCAGACATCAAGACGCCCATCTTCCATACGCCAGAAAAAAGGCTACGGCCCGCTTTGGCATAATAATCGTAAAATGGGTCGTTAATGGCTACAACGACCGCGCAGTGAAGGTTGTGGCGGGATGCAACCATCTTAGAAATGTGAACTAACTGGCGTATTGGCGAATGGAAGAAGAAGGTAATCTTCCAAGTCTCGAACCCTCACACCCAAATTACAGACCAATCACAAATTTAGACGAACAACTCTACAAATCACAAATACACAAAATAATTCTTCAGAATTACAAAACTTTTTTTCTATGGCTAAGGGAGGTTTCTACGCAGTAGCGGCGGGGCGCTCAACTGGCGTCTTCACGACGTGGAGCGAGTGTGAAGCGCAGGTAAAAGGCTTCACTGACTGCAGATACAAGAAGTTTAAGACCCAGGGCGAGGCACAGGCCTTCATGGACGCCTACAACGGTACTCAGTCAAACCCTAAAGTCAAAAGACCTAGAGACTACAGTACCGTGGTCGAAGATGAATTGAAACCACCTTCCGCTCAGAAACTTAAACACGACAATAAAGCTCAATCAGCAGACACTTCCAAGCCCGCTGTGGCCAAAGGGAGGAAGACGGGGGTCTTTCGGACGTGGAAAGAGGCCAAAATTCAAGTCGAAAATTTGTTCAGCGCCAGTTTCAAGAAATTTCCAACAAAAGAGGAGGCCGAAGCGTTCGTGAATCAACACGCAGCATCAACCACGAGACTAAATGACGATCCAGACCCCAAAGATCCCAAAACTTTGGTGGCTTTCTGTGACGGTAGCGCACTGGAAAACGGACGTCGCAAATGTCGTGCAGGTTACGCCTGTATCTTCCCGCACTGTGAGCAGTGGAACGTGGCCAAGCAGCTAGTGGAGGACCGAGCCACGAACAATAGAGCGGAGTATATGGCAGCACTGGAAGCCATGAAACGTGCCAATGTAGAGGATCCTGAGAGATCTCGGATGCTGTACATCTTCTCCGATAGTATGCTACTGATCCGATCCATGACAGAGTGGGTCGGTACGTGGCAGAAGAATAACTGGAACAAGTCGGATGGAACTCCAGTGCAGAATCGCGATCTGCTGGAGCTGCTGGTGGCGGAAAAGGGCAGTCGTCGTATTCGATGGACCCATGTGAAGGCTCATACGAGAAAACAGGACTGGAGATCCAAGTGGAACGATGTCGCCGATAATGCTGCTCGGAACGCAGCGTTAAGTGTAGGAGGCAAGTAGTTTAAAGTGATTTTACCTCTTTGAAGTACACAAGACGAACGATCAATGATAGATAACTTTTAGCAGAGTTGGTGAGTATTTCACTGCTGCATTAGGCCGTTGGCAAGTCATGTGGGACGAGAGAACACTCAACACTCGTCGCAGATCTAACCGTATTCCTTAAATCAACGCACTGCTCAATTGCCAATTTGCAGAGTTCTAGTGAAGGACAAGCACGTTCAAAGTTCAAGTGCTCTCTCTTACGATGAAGTCGTTTGTACTGCTTTTGGTGCTGGCGATTACCTTTGTCGTCGCTTCAAGCGCGCGTGGGCTAGACGTCGCTACCCAAGGTAGGACAGTATTGGCTTTGGGAATCTTCCAAAAAGTAGTTGCTCTTATCTGCTGTCTCAATGCCTAGGAGACAACCTCCGCTATCTGCAACGGAACGACCAGCCGGAACAACCGGCGCTGTCTGTGATGCAGCCTATCATACAGCCTGGTGTGCAACCTGGTATGTCGGTGGGTGTCTCGAATATGGATGGAGGTGGGATGGTAACTGAACATGCCGACGCCGAGGGTTGGTGCGGCGGTGTCTGCCGACCCGGCAGACGGGTCTGGCCAAAGTGCACTTGGTGGTGCAATCCTTTGACTCAGTACTGGCCACGGTGCCGCTTTGGTGGTCCCTGTTAATCTGAACTCCCTACTCTCAAATGACTCGCCGGTGCCAAGTCAACTACTGCGTCCTTGATTGATTTATGCTGTCTTCAGTGGAGGTGGATAAGTGACCTGAAATTGCGGTTAAGCTTACTATTAATAGGAAGAAAGCAAAATTTTGTGGGAAAAAAGTAGGATACTTCGACTAACAGAAAGATACTTAACCCCCCTGTTACCAACGTCATAAGTTATGACATAGTCCAAATTGTACGTCGTAACTTACGACATAGTGTTTTCTTCATATTGGAGTTGGCTCGGAAACGGCGACCTGATACTGAAATCAAATCAAATTTGGGGCCGATCGGATATAAGGCTGGAGAGGTTTTTGCTGCACACACAAAGACAGTACGAGGAAAAGGGTTCAAGTGGACCTTTCCAACTGTCATCATTTGATGAGTGGCCAGAAGTCTTCGGGCACTCTCAGCCATTCCAGATTTTGCCGGCTGAGACGTAAGCAAAATGCCGGTCTCTGTGAGCGCAAGGACCAAAGCTGAGGCTCAAGCGTCGGTGTCAGCGCCCGCCCTGGATCCGCGCCTGGTAGACTTCGGCCACCTGTGGCGCCAGCTCAAGGCCGCGGGGTGGCGGTCGAAGCCTCCCACCGGACTGTCAAACGATTGGGCGTACGTCAGGCCGTCCAGCGAGGTTCCTGCAGAAGGCGAGATTGTGCTCTACGGTATGTTGTGCTATTGCAGTATTACTATGCGTCATTTCTAACTTGGTTTGTGGTAGGTGAGAGAGCGGTGGTGGAGCACGCGATCACAACCGGACTGATTCAGGATGAAGAGGACAACAGCAGTGGCGAGGAGAGTGGAGATAACGGTGAGGGCAAGAGCGGTGGGGGCGGTGAAGCTGAGAGCGGTGGCGGCGGTGAAGCTGGGAGCGGTGGGGGCGACAGCGGTGATGGAGATATGGTGCGAGCGTCGCAGATTGATTGCAATGTGGCTCTCTCGGCCAACACAGTCGACGCGCTGTTCGAAAGTGACAGCGAGGACGATGGCACACCTGCGTTGTCGCAGAACGCGGTTGGGAGAGCTTTTGGGCTATCCCCGCTACGTGCTGACGCGGTGCATGACTCAGACCAGAGTGTCGTGATCGGAGCTTTCCAGCGGCTGCTCTCGGAGACGGAGCCCGACCTAGACTCTGAGGACGACACGGTGGAGGAGCCGAGAGACGCCAGCGAGGGTGACGACGCTGGAGGACCAGTTGTACCACGCGATCCAGCTGATGTAAACTTGATGAAGGCTGGAGATCTTAGAGAGGAGTACGAGAGTCTGAGTTCAGGCTCCGACTACGGCCAGTTTTCTGACGACGACGACGTGGAGCCTGTCCGTCCTGATCCAGACGAGGACGAGGTATCGGACGACGAGGAGTCGCCCTACATGGATGCCGCTTTCATTGAGGCCCTGGGTGGCACCTTGTCCATCGAGCAGATGGACCAGGAAGCGCTGCGAAACTTTGCCTGGAGCGCGCCTTCGACAGTTTTTGCGGACGATGTGTCCTGCTTTCGCGGATTGGTGCAGGAGACCGCCCATCCAACACCAGAACTTTGCTCGAAGAAAGAATCACCTCTTGAATTGATGTTTTATTTCCTACCGAAGCGCCTGTGGATGCGGATCACCAAAGAGACGAACCGGATGAAAAGGCAGACGGTGGACCATCGAGCGCGTTATGAACGATCGCGGACGTCTAGAACGGAGAACATGCGTACACTTCGTGAACTTCGACGCCGTATTCGTCGGGAGAGCGACTACTCACCGCGCGAGATCTTGTGCGTTATTGGGCTTCTCGTGGCTCATATGTTGAGCCCCACCCGACGCTTTTCGCAGCACTGGGCAATGACCGACGATGGTGCTTTAAGTGCAGGTGCGTTCGGCAAGTACATGAGCCGGAACCGCTGCACGTCGATCCTGCGCGATCTACACTTCGCGAACAATGACAGCCCGAACCGTCAAGACAAGCTGTGGAAGATCCGTGACGTTGTTGATGTACTGCAGGAACGGTTCCTGAGCGCGTGGAAGCCGCCGAATATCATCTCGTTTGACGAAGGTGTCTTGCCGGCGACATCCAGACGCAACACGACCAGGATGTTCATGCCAGACAAGCCTCACCGCTACGGGACCAAGATGTTTATGACATGCGACTCGTTGACTGCGTACTGCCACCGGTAAGCGACGAATGTTTTTTTGTATGATTTGCTAGGTCGTAAGTTATGACTTGATGATTTTGACCGTGCTCTCAATGTCGTATCTTTCAGGTTTGAGATCTATGTCGGAAAACGCCAAGCCAGCGAGTCTGCTGCGCAGGCATATGACCGTAAGACGGGCGCTGCGGCAGTCATCCGCAACCTGAGCACTGTTCTAGCTGGGCATCGTGGCTTCCGGGTTGTGGTCATCGACCGCTTCTATTCGTCCGTAGCCCTCGCCATCCAGCTTCTCTCTATGTCAATCTACGTGATCGGTACGATCATGACGAACCGCCTGGGCTTCAACCGCGACATCGTAGCGGAGCATAAGACGCGACCAAGGCGCATCGAGCGTGGATCCTTCAAGTTCGCAAGATCGACGGCAGTGCCGACCATGGTTTCGTGCCTCTGGTGGGACCGGAAGCCGGTCCACTACCTCGCGACAGGTGTGTCCATGGCAGAGGACAGGATCCAGCGGAACCTGAAGGGGCTCGGGACTTCGATGTTCAAGTGCCCGAAGTTGGTGACGGATTACCAGCGCTGGATGGGAGGAGTCGACGTGCATGACCAGCTCCGCCTCCAGTCCTCCTCCATCCAGCTCTCCTTCAGGTTCCGGAAGTATTATAAGAGTCTTTTCCTCGGACTACTGGACCTGGCGCTCGTCAACGCGTACCTCACGCATAAAGAGGCCAGTCGGCTCGCCGGCGAGACGCCCATGAAGCGATACGAGTGGTTGAGCATGCTGCACAAGCAGCTGCTACAGCTCAAGGACGAAGACTTCATGGCAGCCCCCACTCCGTCGCCAGCAGCACGCAAGCGACGGCGCCCTGCATTCTCCGGGCACACGCTCGTGCAGTTCAACGACTGGGTGACTGTGAGGGGCGGCATCCAGAAGAGGCGTCAGCGGTCGTGCAAGGTGTGCTCGCTGTATCGAGGCGAGCTCAAAAAGTCGTTCCAGACGACCTACTACTGCCCGGACTGCTCCAACGGCGACGCCAAGTTCTACCTGTGTGGCAAGGCGCGCAGAGGTGGCGACAAGACTTTCTTCCAAGTGTGGCACGAGGACTTCGCGTGCGGTGACAGGATCCCAGCACACTGGCAAGCGAGTCGTGCTGCGCCGCGCTCCCAAAACCGTCGGCGTCCGCAAGAAGACTCGTCGTGAGATTCTCCGCGAAGACAATGAGGGTGCTGACGAGGAGGCCGAACCGTGAATGCGAAGGAACGCCAGACGATGAGGACAACTAATCCCAGCTGGAGGCCCTCCATAGTTATCCCCCCTGACGATGAGTGTGTTCATTGCTTCATAAATGTGACGTCCTTTACCATATGCTCTGTGTCTGTTCCTCTTTTAGCATGTCAGTCATCGAAAAGCCCTGCTCTATGTGTGCATTCGCTTGCGTCTTCCCGTTTTAATTTTTATGTTCACTCTTACAAAGTCGTAAGTGTCGGTGTCCGTGTCGTTTGGGTCATCCTTACGTCGTATGATATACGACGTAGCGTGTCAAAACCTTTGAGAACGTATACCTCCCATCGTTTTGGATAGGCAAGTGCACATAGAAGCACCATACAAACGCGCTGGTAAAAGCTACGCCGTAAGTTATGACGTAAAATTAGTGGTTCACGGGCTCATTTTGCGGTAACAGAGGGGTTAAGCTTGTTCTAAAAACAATCTAAACATACTTCCATTATTTGCGCGTTGGACTTCAAGCGACCACCGATTCACTAACACTAGACGAGAAGCGCACTGTAACTTCAAAGATCGATGCTGTTGGGCAGACCAGCAAGCTTGCCCTTGACCGATGCACTCACAGACACGCCCGAGAAGTCCAAGCCAGACACCACCTTTGGGTTGGCGACAATGTCATACAAGTTCGTCGCCGAGCCCGTAAGACCCGAAATGGTGACACCTGAAATGGTAACCTGGCTGGTAGGAGAACCGGTGTAGCCACCCTTGGCCTTGCTATAGTCCGAGTGCATGACGACGGCGTTCTTGACGTTCGAGAGCTCGTTGTCGATGTATTTAACGTTCGAAACCAGACCCTTCAGTCCGATGATGGTCTTGATACGCACGCCGTTGTCACTGTTCTGAATCGTGTTTCCTTCGACTGTGAGACCATCGACGGTAGTTGACTGGTCAACACTGTTACCGCCCAGTGAACCGATCGAAATACCGTGGCCACCGCAGCACAGGTTGTAGCTGAAGACCGTGTTGGTACTGGACTGCATGGCGAGACAGTCGTCCTGGTTGTAAATCTTGTTGTGGGTGATCGTGATGTGGTCGTTCTTGGTCAGGTCGAAGCCGTCCGTGTTCTTGGCCAAGCCGTTGCCATCTCTCGAGTCAATGGTGAGACCTGAGAGTGTCGTGTCCTTACTGGTGACGATACTGAAGGTTCGGAATGGCATGTTCTTGATGGTAAAGCCAGACACAGTGGAGCTGACGACGTTCTGCAGCTTGAAGAAGACCGGGCGAGTGATCGACTGACCCTGCTTCCAGTACCAAGCACCCTGGCCGTCGAGGATACCGGAGCCCTTGACGGTAAGGTCAGTTCCACTGACACGCACCAGAGGACCTTCCCACTTCTGCGTACCGAAAGTGGTGGTGCCGACGAACTCGATAGTGGCACCGGTCTTGGCAAGACTCAGGTCCAGCGTGACACCGGGTGGCACGCTGAGCGAGCTCACAGTAATACTGCTGCACTTGGAGATGTCCGTGCCCTTCTTGTAAGTACCGGAAAGGGTGCAACCACTGCCCGACGGTGCTGACTGTTGTTGTTGCTGAGTCGGGTTCTGCTGCGTCGGATCCTGTTGCTGAGTAGGGTCTTGCTGCTGGGTCGGGTCGTCTTGCTGTACCGGAGCTTCCGTCGGTTGCTGAGTTTTCTTGCTCTTCTTTCCCTCCGCTGCTTGGCGGAGCATGGGGGAAGCCTCCGTCGTAGCAGCGAGGAGTGCAAACACAGCAAAGGCGGTAGAGAGGAGCTTCATGATTGAGTTATTCCTTTGGGAGCAGCTCTTGTGCGGGGTGTTGCACCGAAGTGGCAAATTGGGAAGTGAGGATCTAAGGATTTCAACCAGCAACAGTTGGAGCTTGTGCCCCCTCAGTCGCAACAGTAAACGAAGGCATGAGTCGGGGGACCGTTAGTTCGCTAAGGCTGGCTCAAACATCGGGCACGCCCTCTTTCAGTGCCCTTAGGCCAGATGGATCGCTCCGTACCCGGGCACAATGGCACGCTCGAACGTCAATGGACCAGGTCATGACTGACACACCACGAGCCAGCAAATCAAGACGAGCGAAGGTCCGCCGTAGACGGCGAGCAACTTGGACACTTAGAGATTTGAAATCCTGTCAAGTTGTCAACGTGCGACTGTAACAAGTGTTTCCTCTGCATGGAGCAGCTGGAACCGCCGAATAAAGGTCATGGAAAATAAGCACTCGCACGAGGCGCATACACGGGTTAGCTATTTTTGGGGTCGTTTACGGGTAGGGCCTGATAATTGGGTCAGGCGGGTTTCCTGACGGCCCTACCAAACACAGGACCAATTGCTAAGCTACATATTGAAGTGAAAGATATGAAGCTAAGCAGTTGGGTTAAATGCTTAGACCACGATGGTCTGCGCGGCACGAGGTTCGTCGGCTTCAGTGTCGCATTCATCGGCATCACTGTCATTGCTGATCACATCTGCGCCCAAATTCGTAGCAGCAGCGTCCCCTTCGCTGCTAGTACCAGAGACGCCCTCGTTGTCATCATCACTGTCGACATCTACAGCCTCGTCATCTTCTTCACTGCTCGATTCTTCTTCTTATGTAGGAGGATCCTGTTGGAAATGAAACCTGATCCAATAATCAGGCCTGACCTGTATACGACCCCGTTAAAATTCTACCCATTTACCACCGTTCAATGCATAGGAACACGCTTCCGCCACCTACAGTCGGATGACGGGCAGCCTGCCATGCCGACGAATATGGGTGGAGATGGTGTGACCGCCGACAATTCTCAAGTGCTTGACGGCAACAGTGAGCGCTTTGGTATGTGCATGCCCCGGATGAATAACTGGCCTGGCTGCCAGATCTGGTGCCGTCCTGGAACCCGGTTCTGGCCGCGTTGCCGTGGCTGTTACGGCAGCCCTGGAAGATTGATCTGTCTCCGCTCCGGTTAGCAGGTCGAAACCCAGATGCAACTGTTATCAATGGTGCGTTCTACACCGATGCAGATCTGTGTTCTAAATGCTTTGAGACGAAGAAAGAGCGGGAATTTGAAAGACATGAACTGCGCGTGGGTGGGTGTATTCTCTTATGAAGAGGAACTCTGTGCTTAGTCTTTATTTTTGGGATCCGAAACTCAAAGGTGGTCCTCTAGCTGCAAAGCAGTACTTGTTACTGTTTAATCACAATAGCTCGGTCGGATTACCAAATTGATCGCTATGAATATATCGTTGTCGCTGCAATGCGACCACTTTGGAACGTTCTACTGTAATTTCCAAAGCCAAATTAGGAGGCCTGCAATTATGTATCGATAGACCTTTTACTAGGAACATTCTGCATGCGCAAGGAGGCACGTCATGTGAGACGAGCAACATCGCTGCGGTCTCGCTGTTTCGGATTCAGTGTTGAGGACTCGTCGCAGAAAGTCAATAGTCAAGACAAAAATCTCGCATGACATTTACCGCAGTTTGGTCAACCAAGATCGGCCCGTTAGGGTTGTCAAGAATGTACGTGCCGGCAACTGCAATGTACCAAGCTTCATCCAAGAGCTCAGTTGCCATTTTGGAGCGTTGTTGCGAAGCCACCGAAGAACTTGCTGACTGCAACAATGAAGTCGTGTGCAGTGCTACTGCTTTTGGTACTTGTGATTGCCCAAGGCGCGTATGGGCTCGAGGTCGCTACGCAAAGTGAGATAGCGTCGTTGTTCTTACGTATTTCCGGAAACTTTTTCACATATTAACTCTATCCAATACCTAGGTACTCACCTCCGCCACCTCCAAGGTGACGATCAGCAACCCGAGCAGCCTGTGCAACCCGAGCAGCCTGAGCAACCCGAGCAGCCTGAGCAACCCGAACAGCCCGAGCAACCAGCTATGCAGCCTGCTATGCAACCAGTCATACAACCAGTCATGCAGCAGCCGGGCATGTCGATGGGTGTCTCGAATTTGGGTGGAGGCTACATGACCGGTGACAATACAAACACCATGGGCGGTACAAACCAGTTCGATGGTGATGGCTACTTCGCCAGTGCGATCGTTGCTAATATTTTTTCTATTACTTAGGAGCGCGACGCCACCTGCAAGGGGATGACCAGCAGCCTGTCCAACCCGAACAACCCGAACAACCGGAGCAGCCTGAGCAACCAGAGCAGCCTGAGCAACCGGAGCAACCAGTTATGCAGCCAGTCATGCAGCAGCCGGGCCTGGCGACGGGTTACTCGAATGTGGGTGGAGGCTACATGACTGGTGACAATACGAACACCATGAGCGGCACCAACGAATTCATCGGCCGTCGCTGTTACCCATGGCCTCAATGCCGTTGGTGGTGCCGTCCGGGATCCTGGAACTGGCCACGTTGTCGCTTTGGCGTTCGTCCCCGTCCCCCGTGCTTCCCAGGCGTGTGGAACTGGCCGCGCTGCAAGTACATTTTCTAAGTCGGAAATCGTGAAGGATGTGAGCAGTGAATTGATTTGCGCTGGGGCAAGCGCTAATGTTGACCCTGACGGACAGATGCGACCTTGAAAGTCAACATGATGAAGTGTCGTGTGGTGAAGAGTCCTGCTAGTAGTGACGAGACAAAACGTAGTGATGAGAGGACAAATACCAAAAAATAACCTTGATGTTTTATTTCGCCGCTATCATGTCGTTATCGATTTAGTAAGAAATTCATAGCTCTTGTGACAGTGAACAATGATTCCGCTACAAGAAAGTAATTGTGCGCGTATCACGTCACAACACGTAAAGTGATCATCCCTCTTTCGTCACATTGGACAGTCGCGCACGTCGCAGAACAAAGGTCACCACTCACTGAGTGGCACTCAGTTGCCAATTTGTAGCGCCGGACTTGAGTAAGATGAAGATTTTTGCGGTATTACTGGTGGCAATTGGCGCTAGCGTGGCTTCAGGAGCTCTTGCTTTCGAGGTAATTAAGCAAGGTGGGAAAAAGTGTGGGCATCCGTGCAGTCGTTAGCAGACCTTGCCGCTAACACCCTATTTTGCTATACTTTACATAATATGTAGGAGCTCACCTACGTCACCTGCAAGGGGATGACCAGCAGCCTGACCAGCCTGAGCAACCTGAACAACCTCTCACGCAGCCTGCCTTGCAGCAGCCCGGCGTGCCGTCGGGTGTCTCGAATATGGGTGGGGGCTATACGACAGGCGATATTACTAACATCATGGGTGGCAGCAATGAGATCGTGCTCGGTCGCTGCGTCCGCGGTTCGCTGAACTGGCCACGTTGCTGTGTCCGTGGATCGTCGTTCTGGCCTGGCTGCCGGTTTTATCGTTGCTTCCCCGGCTCGCCGATCTACCCGCGCTGCACTCTCTACGGCGTGTAAGTATGCATCCACAAAATGTCGCTGTAAAGACTTCAGTTGCCTCGGTGGACAAGCAACTCGAAGGTGAAGTCAACATCAACTAGTGTCGTATCGAGAGAGAAAAGAACAGGTTTTAGCTACAAGAAGTCAAAGACGGATCCCGAAAAATAAAAGGATGCTCCCTATTTGTGAGCCACAGGAAAAATCATATTTGGTACTACAGAATTATTATTAATAGCTGTAGAATTATAAGCTGCTACCGCCAGAAATAAACTTTTGACTGCACGGTTACTGTGGCACAAAAATTGCACCCTGGACATTTGCAGCGCTTCCGCTATGCGTTAAAGCTCAAGTGGCAACACCAGTAGCACAATACACCGAACATTATAATTAAATTTCTTTCACTATGCTTACACTTCGAGCTTGAATTCAAATAGATACTTACAAATTACTACTTTAATTAAATGTCGTGTTCTCATAGATGTCAGAACAATACTGCGCAGCGAAAACTAGCGTAACCAGCGCGAGGTACCAATTGGAGAGTTCTGGTGAGAACGCGTCTCAGTGGCTGTAAAAGTGCAAGGGTCCTGCTGGATCATCGTATAAATTCGTCTAGGAACGTCAACGCGTTCGATAACGAAATCTTCGTTGTGTGTCAGGATAATCCCTAACGTGGCTTATGTTACATCAATGTTAGCAGCTGTCTAGTTGCTGACAAAACGATTAAAAGAAAGATTCGGGTGCAAGAATGAGGTACCTTGCTTGGGAAGTATCGAAACACATCGAAGCCCACATCTCCAGCGATGAATCTACACGCACAAAACTGAATAAATCAAGTGGAAGGGCAAGAGCGTTGCAGCCGACTTACTTGATGAGTTGGGAGTCGCATTCTTTTTCCAAAGGAGGAAGATTTTGCTTCCGAATTCAGTCGGCGTTAAGGTAGACCCACTTCAATATGCAGTCACTTTCGTTATTAGAGCGCAGTATCTGCTGCACTGGATCTCGACTGCAACGTGGTTTAACCACGGTGGTTAGCTATTTTCCCCGTGAAATATTATCAGAAGTTTTTGAATTGTACCTAGTTCCGACGACAATGGCCAACACAAGCTCAACGGCCTCAAGGACGAACTGTCGAACACAGTTAAGAAGCCACAGTCCAGTGCTGTACCCTCGCGAGCTCTGAAAGAGATTCGACTGGTTCCGAAGTCGTTGCCGTAGACGCGAGTACAGCCAAAAGCGCGCCGACTCGTTTTTCAGCGCATTGTTAACTTTGTGGCACGTTGCGCGCGCAGTTAACAAATCCTTAGCAGTCAGGAATTCTGCAATTTCAAACTGCACTTCGTTCGGTAGCGCTGTTCTTCTGTGAACTACCAGAAAAGTTATTATCAAAACTGTTATAGATCGATGATTATACACTTACTACTGGGATAATCGCGTTAACATATCTGCCGTTAAGCGACTCTCAGCGTCTAAAACGTATTTAAACAGAAGCTTCACAAAAACGCACGCCACGACTCCGACACTGAGAGCGACAACTGGGTGTTAGGGCCATAAAATAGCGTACGATAGACTGCCACCTCCACTGAGCCAGGTAGCCATCATCCATGGTTGGGTTGGTACTCGAGAGTGGCGACGCATCGACGCTGGAGTCGCGAAAAAACGAAAGTGAACGCGATACTAGCTACAGTCAACATTGGCAGCGTGTTCCACCCGATAATATGATGATCACGAGTAATAATCCGTAATCTGCAGCAACGAAGGCATGGTCTTACAAATGGTGTAAACACGACGATGATACAACAGCGCCGTAATGTGCATGCAGGAAATACTTCCAGTACTTACCCTCAAAGGACGCGTGGTTCCATACCTTTTTACAGCGAACTCTGAGCAGCAAACGTGTTGAGCTCACTTTTTAAGCGATGTGTGCTCCTGACCGTGCGTTAATAATGCAATATGAAGTTTACCACTCGATACTATTTTCCGTAATCCAAGATACCAATCCGGATGGGATCGGAGGGAGGAGGAAAACTTTCTCACTATAATGGAAACGAAGTTTGTCACTTAGAAATCCTTACAAAACATGTACCAAAAGCACTCGCCATCATGATAAAAAAAAGGGATGTGGCATACTTCAAGTTTGGAGGATGGGACAAACATAGTTACAGTTAACTGTAAAGCAAACGCCAGGCTCGATCGTTGTTTCAGTTGAGTTTTAACTATCCTTCTCAAATAATACACGATAAAATCTTCGCAATCGTCTGCTGTTCCGTTGATACTGGAGCTGTGAACTCCGGTCCCAATTCGTAGATTGCGAACTGGAACTGCGAGATGCTGGAGTCAATCCGCCACGCTATCGCAGGACGCGACGTTCGCATCTTCTCCGACCTGTAGTGTTCAGAGCGCAATGAGTACTCTCTTTCCAGCTTCATCTTATACTACACCCATGACTTACGACAGTACTAGCGGATACAATGACGAAGCCAGCTCAACTGGAGATCTCTCCTTTAGAGTATCCAACTCATGCGTTAAAGTCGCTCCCTAAAAACAAATACAGAGATGTGAGACCGTTGTCGCCAGTTCAATCTTTAGATGCATCATACACTTGTGCACTCTAACAGGTCCCAGACCAGCACCCTGCCGTTCGAGAACGAGGCATAAAAGATGCCAGGACGTGACGTCGACCATGCCACGGCGCAGACACTAACCCCAAATGGTACTTCTTCCCACGATGTGAGACACAAGGACACATCCGAGTGATACAGACTACAGAAGAAGCAATGACATTACTGATAAAGAAGCCAAAAAAACACAACAACTCGATAGCAACGCACCAAATGCTGCCGTCTTCATAACCCACGAGGAAATAGTCCGACTCGAAAGGATGAAAGTCGATACAGACGACTCCACTCGCCGCATCTATCGTCTTTAAGCCTTGTTCCCGTTCATATTGCATACGAGAAGTAGCTTTATCAAAGCGATTGCCACGTATTAGCTGACCTGTACGCGTTCCAACGATAAACCTGGGGGTATAAAAAAATAGAGTTTAGTGATTAGAGACACACTCTAAAATTAGAGCATGGAATAGAGTTACTGGTTAGGATCTCGAGGGAAATACTTCAACACAGCAACCACAGGACCAACTTGCGCAACCAAATTAGTGAAAGAAAGCGACACCGCACTCGTCTTTGATCCAATGCGCTTCGGAGGCGCTTGAGGCGTTAGATATTGCTGTATTTCGATGCGCGTATTCATGACCATTTTCACGTTTCCTCCAATCTGCACACACTTGTCTGTAGCCAGAGCTTCGTCCCCGTGTTCAAACTCTATTAAGCTCCAGATAATCAACACGCCTCGGTCATCCATGGAGCCGAACTGGAACGTTCCACCCGTGTCTGACCCGTCTCTACCTCGATCAATCGTCTCTAGTGCCACAATCGTCGACGTGTGTTGCTCCAGTGCACGGTAGTTCATCCCACACGTCGAATACGCTGGCGTACAAACTGCCTGGCCCTCTATCAGACTCGTGGACTGAATCATGGATTGCGGACGAAGATCCCATACATGTATACTACCATCTTCCGTCCCAACTACCACAAAAAGGTCTCGTGAAGGACTCAAGCACGCAGTCGACGCCACACCTTCACTTTTGAGTATATAGAGAGGACGATTCGGTAGATTAACATCCCAGACACACGACACGGTCTTGTCCCGGAACAATTGACTCTTATCGACACTGTAAGCAGCCCCGTAGCAGGATAGAAGCGTGCTGGATACAGCTGGAGAGAACCGAAGCGCTACCAGGTCCCGACCTTGAAGAACTTGCTCCAGTGCGTCGATTTTCTGGCTTGGGAACACTAATTTCCGGTCAAATTTCGAGATATTCGTCACTTGATGGCGCTTACTGTCTTCTTTATTCTTAAAATTCTCTTCTTGCGCTTCTCGTTCCGCCGCCATCGCGTTCTCCCGCCAACGTCTCACATACATAAGCAGCATGTTCCAAGAATTTGAAGAACCGCGCTGTAGATGTCGCTCCTTCTTCACTCTCTTTCTCCCTGTCAATCCCGATATCATCAGGAAAGTGCATACTCTTATTATGTGTTTCTGGAGGCTTCGTCTGCGTCGCCAGCGTCCTCGCGCCCTCACTCGTCTGCACAAACGCCTGCTTGACTAATCCTCTTCTCAAGCGATTCGTCACTTTCTCTTGCTCACTAACAGGATTTAACTGGAACAACGAGAACTTGTCCACCTCAAATTTACGTCGTTCCAGAATCTCCTTCACGCGTTTGGCGCGAGGATCCAGCGACTGCTTTAAGCCAGCAATCGACGAAGAAATGGACGTAGACGGTCTCATAGTATCCGACCTCTCTTCACTACGATTGCTGGCTTTACTACTCGGTCTCGACAGACTGGAAGTCGCTGAGTGGAGCCCTTTGGTCTCTGCCTGCATGGCCTGTTGGATCCGACGTAGCTCTTCTAGTTCGGCTGCGTTCGAGACGCCTCGAGTCTTACTCGCCTTGGCCTTAATGGTCGGTAGACAAGTGGATTTGGGTTGACTCGTTTCTTCTTCAAAGTCCTCGTCGTAGTTCTCAAAGCCGTCGTCGTCGTAGTCGTCTGCTTCTTCTTGACATTCTTCTGCGTTGGCGTTTAATGCCTCTAGCTGCTGTTTCTGACGAGCTTCGCGTTGTTTCTGTTCCTCTACCCGCTGAGCTTCCTGGAGCGCCTGTTTCTCCACTTCTTCTCGACGTTTGGCGTCTTCGAGCTCCTTGGCTCGTTGCTTTTTGGCTTCCCGTCTCAGCTGCTTTTCACGTTCGGCGTCTTCTTTCTGCTTGGCTGCAGCGACGTCGACGGCTGCATGAGCTTCAGGACCTGTAGGAACTGATGGACCTGGTGGAGTGGACTCTTCTCCACCGCGCGACGTTGATGATGTTCGTTTCTTTGATGATTTACGTTTAGTATCGACGTCTGCTTTCGGCTCTGCTAAGTGGATTCGAGGTACCGTGGGCACTGCACCGGCTGGAGATGCAGATGCTGCAACGGGTTGAGCCACAGATTGGGAGGCAGGAGCTGCGACTGAGTGTCTCGAAGAACTTTTCTTGCTCGATTTCTTAGCTGGAGCAGCATCGCCGATGGCTGACGGGCCCTTGGGCTCCGACATGGTGAAGATACTGCAGATAGAGATCCTTATGCGTCTTTTCGGCCTTTTAAAGGTAAAAAAAATCGATGGACATATTTATGTGTAACAATTGGTATTCTCTTCGCTTAGAATTTTTTTTTCCTGCATGTTGAAGAGCGGAGCAAAAGCACCAGCTGCACGACTTTCGCGGTAATTGATCATGGTCTTCCGCACAAGTGAGTTCTTCGTCGCCGGGCGAACCGGTTAGCACCATCCAGTTCAACGTACATGAGAGGTACCGCGATCGAATGTCGGATGGACACGCTACAGGCTGTCATAATGAAGGGATCCGCCGATTTGTTAAAGCCCGTTGATGCACGGCTGTGTGCACAGTAATTAAGGTCTTCCAGCTTCCGACACTTGGCGTGCTTGCTGCTAAACCATGAATCTGGGGACCGCCCAACAGAACATTCATTTTGGACATAAAGAGAAGAGTTTGGGCCGATCGCTTCCGGTTCTTTGCAGCAATACGAGCCTCCTTCGTGGGCTCGTTTGCCAAGTCGGCGAGAGCTTTGCGATGGGAGCCTGCTAGATCTCATCATTCTTTCCGTGCTTCTCCATTGAGATAGCTTAGTACTGTGATAAAAAAGAAAAAAAAATCCCTGAATGAAACACGGCAGAGGACTATCTCCGGGTTGGGTATTAATAAATAATAAGCTCCAATACGACAGTTCTCGTTGAAGCAGCACACGCTAATAGCATCCATCAGTTTATTCTCGTTCTTCATTTTACGTACAGTACTAGTCTACATCTCGGTACTCTTAAACATCAGTTCAGTTAAGGACTTCAGTCGTCACCCGTAGTAGATTCCTTCTCCAATGATGTCGAGTTTGCTTTTCTTGTATCGCTTTATCTGGTAGTCCCACATCTTACGCGTGAGTGGCACGTTGTGGCCCGCTACACGGCTGGACACGAGGTTCTTTTTGCGGAGATCAGCCGGGATTTCCACTGGTGGCTGGGCCACAACATGGCGCATGCGACTTACACTGAAGCGAAGCAGCGGCTCTGGGTGGGCGGTCAGGATCTTTGTCTTTAGTTTCTGGGCTTCGTGTGGCAAAGACGTCGCATCCTCTTTGGTGCGTTTGGTTGCGCTAGAGCGCGACTTGAAGAGTAGCTTGGACTTGTTACGAGGAGGTAGAAGACCCATCTCAGCGCTGTTAAATGGGTTTAATGAGCTTGAGCTATGCGTAACCAATTCGAAAGTGAGGTGGGCATTGCTGTCCTTTGAACGTCCGTGTCAACGTCAACCACAAGAAACGTCGTGTGCCGGCGCCACTTGTCGGTCTAATCAGGCCGATTTGATGGCAACATGAACATGTGACTCGACTCCAGGACATCCAATCGGAGGGATTACCAGATCGTCCTATCAACCGAATTGGTTGGCGGTACATCCCGAAGATATCGATTTGGAGAGGTATTAGACGGGCACCACAACATGTACCGTTCACTGACATGACGGTGTTCCCGCGGACTGTAGGCTTCAAGTTGCTGGTCGATGCATTAATCCAATGATGCAAATAAATGGCTCAGTCACAAGAAATTGGGAGGCCACTTTAGAAGGCATTTACTGTAGTGTTTCAAGTCTCTTTCGTCTACATGGCTGCTTGGTGCACGTCGACGTAAGAATTGGCCACTGGGATGTGCTCCTTTGATGAATAAATACTGCGTGACACTGTGTACAGTATCACGTTCAAGACTTAGGCTACCTGGCGAAATAGAGTGCGTTAATCTATGGGCGGAGTGCTGTAAATTAAAGTCTTCATTTGACTGCGGCGAGATACTTTGTTAAAACGAACATTGACGCGGTATCAGTGATACTATCACCGGTAACTGACGTACTCATCGATCATGTCGAGGTGCTTGGTCCTCCTCTTGCAGTTCTCCCACATGTGCATGGTGAGCGGCACTGTCTTGCCGGACACGAGCGTCCGCATGGCTCGTCGGTCATTGAGGGTCTCTGGAATGAGTACAGGTGGGGTGGCCATGTGGCGCATGTGGCTGAGACTGAAGCGAAGCAGCTTGACTGGGTGTGACTCGAGGATTCTCTGCTTGAGCACACGGACATCCTCCGGCAGGTCCACAACCACTGATTGGGACTTGCGACGGAAGCTTGAGCGCTTTCGAAGTCCGCGTGGTGACTTGGTAGCACGTGGCTGGGAGCGCTGGATGTGAAGAGGGGGCACTTCAGGCTGGACTGCCATTGCTGCTATGTAGCGACTTTGGGGCAACCGAGTAAGTTGTGGAATGCCAAAAGTTGTTGAATGAATCTGAGTACAGGAAAACTATGAAACGAGTTGGCACGTTCTCGTACAGTGCACTCTGAGTGGCTGGCTTCGTGCCGCACGCGGTTTGCCTACGCCAGCGCACAGAGCTCGGGCGTGGAAGATATCTTTGCTGATTGGAAGCCACCCGCCTATCCTTGTGTTATTGAAGGAACTTATTAATAGCGGTGGTGGTGCTGAAGCCCGTCGCATGGAATCACGAGGTGCAGTTTGGTCACGGAAGGAATCATGGCCGTGATTCATTGGCAGACACAAAACCGTCTGGTCCAAACAGGCAGCCTTTTCTTGATCAGCACACCGTGTCGCCTGCTTTAATAAGAGGGAGAGACTCTCCGAGAGTGTTGGCTGCTGAGTTGCGAGTGCAACCCGCAGGGCCACGGCACCTGAATTTCGAATTTGTTGTAAAAAAAAAGACGTGTCTTGTACTGGAGATCCAGTGGTGCTTGGGCGACCATGTTCGTCTACGCCTTTCGCTATCCCATCTTCGACTCGTCGCATTTTCGACTGTCACATGTGCTGTGGCGTCCTATCCGGCGGCGATGATACCACCTCGTCAGCGTCTGCGCTTTGAGCTCAGCATCTTATTTCGTAAATAGCCCAGACCAACGGCAGCGTTCAGGTGGACTTGTCAAGTCACCTTAGATCCCGTAAAAAGCTAGTGACCTGGTACGGCTCGCACCACGTGAGGCTTGCCAAGCTGATGCTTCAGCATTCGTCTTCGGCGTGGAATCGGTATTTGGTCTAAAAAAAATAGTCAGAACTGAGTTGTCATTTTACAAAATTGATCTCGTCAGGACCAATGCACGAAACAGCCTTACTCACGCGCACATGAAATTCAGCGCTATAAGTACAACAGGTTTTGAATACAGTACTGCAGCACGTGCAACATATTTCAATTCGCCGGTAGATTATGCTTTGCCGTGTCGAGACGTGATCCATGAGTGAAGTCCAACATTGAGCAACCTCGTAAAGTCACGCTAATCCTTAGTTTTTGGACACGTACCGTTAGTGAATTGCTCGCGCAAAGTTGGTACTTCAGCTAATGAATTACTCAGGAATAACTGCATAGAATAAATATTAGGCCACAGGCTAAAAAAGTGAATTTTTCGTCAGTTATGTGCATGTACCTTATATAGCAGTATTTGCTCACGATACAACGCTATCTGGCGCAAACAATACAGTTTCAAATTTAAAACGCCTTAATAATTCTAAGCTGCGATATTTTCGCATATAGCTCAATCACTTTTAATATAACTAGGCTGCAGCTGTAATATTCAAGTATACATAACAGCGTGGTATCATTGGCAAAAATATGTATCTGAAGCTAGTGCGACATCGTATTATCTATAATATATCTGGTTTTCGCGAAATCCTGGCCATTTAATTTGGAAAAAAGTCAAAGCACAGAGAGGAAGCTCAGATTCACTTGTCAATTACCAAGATGCCCAGTACAGCCAGCCAAGTGTTCGACCGCCTCAACCGACAGTTGGAGGACGAGACCTCCAACCTCATTGGCAAGTTGGAAAGTAGGGAAGATGAAGTGTCTCGCTGCTGTATTTGCACTTGTAGAGTACCTGATATTGTACTGGCGAGATGAAATGCAACACCAAACATTGCCCTTTCACAACTTCTCACCCAATTACCCAATTTATATAAGCTTTTTTTTGTTGGAAAGATAATGATTTCTTCTCTTAAGTAGTCATAATCATCCTTGAATATCTGCTCAAATTCACATGCTACACTTAATCGAAAAGTGCGTGTCTTTCGTTCCGCCCAAAAAATCGAGGCTATGTTCTTGACATACGGCATCAGATGTTTTGGTCCTTACAAACTTTAGTATTACAATCAACAATGCCCTTTTTACTCATTTCTATGCACATTTGATCCTAGGAAGTGGGGCTGTCGGCGATGCGTTTAACACTGCATGCAGCAATCCCTACGCTGCTCCTGTAGCTAAAACCAACTTCTGCAGATGCGTTGCATTCCAAGCTGCATTCTGGCGTAAAGCTTGTCACTTTAGGCTTCTTTGTTTATTAAATATCGCAAGAAATGTTCTGTGCATGCATGATCAGCATCAATTTCCCGCAGACGTTTGAGCTTCCACCATTTTAATAAAAGACAAGAAAGTCAAACAACGTGTGTTTGTCTGTGATCTCTATGCTGCCCTGTTTCCATTGCGGGTCTGCCGGCATTAATCCGATAATTACTTTTGTATTTATGAGCAAAACAAAAAAATGGTGGTGCATTTCATCTCGCCAGTACAATAGTGTACCGGTATTGATAACAAAGAGTAATTCATAACTAAGTTATAGGCAGACCCAGGTGTCGTTGAAATAGACCGACTCTTGGGTAGAAGCCTCCATAATTTAATTTTTGGGTCACAAATGTAGCCAACTGTATTTCATAGGATCGTACTTATACCAGAAGTAGCATGAGATGCGAAAATACTAAAAACAGCAGGGTAAATGCAAAAAAACAAGCATGTGCTTTTCCAAGAATCATGTTTTCCGGAATAAGGCATGGAATTCGCATTAAATTAGATTTTATGCGAAATCAAGCACCATACGCTAAGACACACTTTTTGAGACTGTTATCTATTATAGAAGTCCTTATTAAACATTTTTTTTAATCGGTCAGGGGATTCCAAAAATATATGTTTATTTAATAAACTGTCACTTTTTTCGCGATTACTTTCTAAAGAATAAGAAACGACAGATGGGTCCTTTAAAAGTCTTAGCGTCGGGGGACCGCCTAGCTAAGGGTTTTCTTGTTGTGAGGTGGCTCAGTCAGGTGTACCTTTGAAATGGTACAAAACAGAAGCATCAACTTCATTCTTTGCGTTTGCGGTCCTCCCAGAGTCTCTCTCATTCTTCAATTTTCCAAGGTATTATAGTGTCCCCGAGATGTCAATCATGCCGAAGTCAACTACCATGCTCACCAATTGGTGCCTGCGAGGATACTGGATGCGAAGCAGATAATAATGGTTTAGAGCTCGATTCTGCGGATATTAAGGTGGGTTAGCTATTTTTGGGGTCGTGTACGGGTAGGGCCTGATAATTGGGTCAGGCGGGTTTCCTGACGGCCCTACCAAACACAGGACCAATTGCTAAGCTACATATTGAAGTGAAAGATACGAAGCTAAGCAGTTGGGTTAGAATGCTTAGACCACGATGGTCTGCGCGGCACGAGGTTGGTCGGCTTCAGTGTCGCCTTCATCGGCATCACTGTCATTGCTGATCACACCTGCGCCCAAATTGGTAGCAGCAGCGTCCTCTTCGCTGCTAGTACCAGAGACGCCCTCGTTGTCATCATCACTGTCGACGTCTACAGCCTCGTCATCTTCTTCACTGCTCGATTCTTCTTCTTCTGTAGGACGATCCTGTTGGAAATGGAACCTGACCCAATAATCAGGCCTGACCTGTATACGACCCCGTTAAAATTCTACCTTAAGGTGCACCTTAATTGGGTTGCACAGCTGCTTATTCGAGCAGATTCAACGGGCGTATCGGATAGATGTGTACAAAGGCTAAAAGCGATGCAGAGAGTACTGCGATACGAGCTAAGTAGGAAGGAAGGGTGCAAGCAGCAAGTGTCTACTTTGCACGTGCTGCATAATAATGACTTTGGCATAGTTGAGCACCGCAGAATCGTCATTTTTCGTAATTGAAACAATTGGCGGGACCCCGGGGTCCCATCCGGACCCCGGGGCTCTCATAAGTAACCGGTACAAACAGTACCAATTTTTGTTTTGGCTGCTGATGTCTCAAGAGGTACATCCACGACTACATTTGAAGTGCTGATATGCTGCCGAACTGTCAGCATGGGTGCGATAACGATGCCTTGGAATGACGCTCAGAGACTTCACAGTAATTTCTGACATATTATTGTTCAATATGGCAGCTAACGGCTTATAGATGCACTTGCTTGCAGGGCCCAGGGACTTCACAGCAATATCTGATATTTTACTGTCCAATAGGGCCGTTAATGGCTTCTGGATGCTCGTTCACGGGATGCTGGGCAAGCTAAATTTTGAAAAAGTAAGTCACGAAAGAATTTTTTTATAGGTTGTGGTGCATGCCCGTAATAAAATAAATAATTCTGGATACCAACAAAATTTTTTGCGGGACCCCGGTCCCGCCAACTGTTTCAATTATGTATTCCATATTTTGAGGGAGGGGTGAGAGGTATCCGATACTCCAAGAGCAGGGATTACTATTACCGAAGGGCTCATCTATGCACGTACACAGAAAAACACTTTCTTTGCGAAAATAGAAACTGACGGCAGTTTCTAACCATCCAGACATAAATACATTTCATTTAATTATTATATTTTGACATTTTTCTTTTTCTGAATCCTGGAACGTTACGTAATCCGTTTCTGGGTAATGTTTTCCCAACCACTCCAGAATATGTCTTTGTTCATGTTTTCGTGCAAATATTTTCGCTGTCGCCGTGCATCCTTCTCTGCGATGAGCTCGTAAGAACAGCAGCACTTCAAAATGCTCACGCCCAGCAGCAAAATCCATGGCATCGACGGTGCATCCCTCGGATCGATGAAGCTGTAGCCATCGCACGACCTTTAAATGGCCATTACCTGCAGCATAATCCATTGCATTGGTCGTGCAACCTTCACTGCGATTCTTGTGTAGCCATTTTACCACTGCAAGATGTCCATTTTCAGCTGCCGAATCCATGACATCAGTGGACCACTCGACGTCATCTCGATCGTGAAGCCATTGCAACATCTCGAGATTGCCGTTGCGAGCTACCATACTGGTAGCTGAGGGGGCGAAACACAACTTCGGATAGTGTTTCTGTAGCCACCTCACAACTTCGAGATGTCCCATCGAGGCCGCCGACTGTAGAGCCCAGTTCGTGCATGTAGGACCCTCACTTTTTCCTTCATTCTGCATTTCGAC